ACTCCCCCTTCTTGAGATGATGTGACATGACAAAATGCTTATGTGATAAGATGAAGTGAGGTGAAAGGAGGTGTTCTGATGTAGCTTGAAGTTACTACTGACCTTTTTTTTTTTTTTAGATTTTATTTTTAAGTAACCTCTATACCTGATGTGGCGTTCGACCTCACAACCCCGAGATCAAGAGTTGCATGCTCCATGGACTGAGCCAGCCAGGCACCCCCTGACTTTCTGATGATAGGTCAAAAAGAGGGTCATCTGCTTCTGACCCAGTCATCAGTGGGGAACTGAAACCACAGAAAGAAAACCACAGATAAGGGGACTATCATATACTAATGAAGACATTTCAGGTTTTTCTGATATATATTAATACAAAAAGATTTGTATACTATAAATAAGATGCCTCATTTATATGCTTTTCTAGCAGCCCCCCCATACCTGTAATATAAAACATATCGTGCTTCATCATGATTTCTTTCATTTTCCCGAACTTCCTAACTATTGAGAATTTGAGAGAAGTGTCTCTGTCTTATTTTGATCTGTACCTCCTGTGACTAGCATGTAGCAGTGTGGGGCCAGAAGCCACTCTGCCTGGATTTAAATCCCACCTTTAAAATTCAATAGCCATTGGGGCACCTGCGTGGCTCAGTTGGTTATGTGTCTGCCTTCAGCTCAGGTCATGATCCCAGGGTCCTGGGATCAAGCCCTGCATCGGGCTCCCTGCTCAGTGGGAAGCCTGCTTCTCCCTCTCCCACCACCACCCCCCCCACGCTTGTGCATGCTCGCTCTCTCTCTCTCTGTCTCGCATGTGTGCCCTATCTCAAATAAATAAGATCTTTAAAAAATAAAATAGGGGCGCCTGGGTGGCTCAGTGGGTTAAGCCGCTGCCTTCGGCTCAGGTCATGATCTCAGGGTCCTGGGATCGAGCCCCGCATCGGGCTCTCTGCTCAGCAGGGAGCCTGCTTCCTCCTCTATCTCTGCCTGCTTGTGATCTCTCTCTGTCAAATAAATAAATAAAATCTTTAAAAAAAAAATAAAAATAAAAATAAAAAATAAAAAATAAAATAAAATTTAACAGCCATGTGACCCTGTACACATCACTGAAATTCTCTGTGCCTCAGTCCTTACAACTATAAAATTAGGGTAAAAAGAGTATCAGCCTCATGAGACTGCAATGAAGATTAAAGACTTAATACATGGCAAGGGCTTAGAATGGGACCATTTTGAAGATTCAATAGTAAATGCTGTATTCTTTCACTACTACTATTATCATTATTAGTGATAACTGACAGACATGTTCCTACTCGTGTACAGCTCACATATTATTGCTTGAGACAGATAAACAAATATATCAGTAAGAGTAATCAGGTAGCAATGTGCACTGTGATGAACACAAAAAAGGGGACTGTGATGAAATGCAGTTGGAAAACTATTTAGATTGGAGGGTCAGAGAAGGCCTCTGGTAAGGATGTGATAATTCAAAGTAATACCAGAAAGAAACCAGATTTAAGGAGCCATGGAGAAAGAACATTCCACAGACAAGGGAGACTAGCCCCAGAGCCGTAAGCAGGAAGGAGCTTGTCTGGTTCCAGAGCAGAAAGAATGCCGGTGTGGTTTGGCCAGAGTATAGTCAGCGAGGAAGAAAGGAGTAGGAGATGATGCTGCAGAGGTGGGTGTGAGCTAGAGAATACAGTCTGTGTAAAATCAGGGGAAGAGTTTGAATTTCATTTCAGGTGTGGCGAGATGCCTTGGTCAAGTCTCATGAACTTACGATCTCATTCATATTTTGACCATCTCATTTATATTTTGAAGTAATCACTCCGGCTGCTATGCAGTTTGGAATCAGGGAGTTAAATTTGAAAGCTCTTGCATTATTACTGCCGACCAAAACAAAACAAACAGAAAGAAGGTAGCTTATATTAGGATGGTAGTGGTGGAGACAAAAAGTAGATGGAGTTGAAGATAAAATTAACCAAATGTGCTGATGGATCAACAATATAGGTCACTGAGGTAAATATACTTATTAAAGGAACAAGATGTTCAGATTACATTGTACTTTCCTAAATTAGTGCTTTAGGTTTATCTCTAATTTAAACTCAGGTAAGTCAGAAGTTCTCAAATGGACATAAAAAGGGATAAAGCTATATTTAAAAAAAAAATTCTAGTAAGTATGGAGGAAAGCTGAAAACTTCAGGGCTGTTGATCCTCTTCCCCCAGCAAGACCTGCAGGAGGCTGCAAGTCCCTAGGGAAAACCCTTCTTACTGTGTACTGCCTTACCAATATGACATGGAGAAAATAGGCAATATGGATTAATAGAGGAAGGGGGGCTGGGCTGGACTCCTGAACCTGGGGTAGTGGGTGACTCCTCAAAGTCTGTGTGGAGAATGAGAGGGACCCAGAAGGACCCAGAAGTTCCCAGAAGTTCCCATGAGCCTTAGTGACGGGCCCAGAAGAACTAGACAGGCTGTTGCAGCAACAGAGACCCAGTGTGAGAGAAAGCAGAAACCACAGAATATGAATATTACTCAATCCAATGCCCATACACCCCAAAACCCAGAGAGGATTAGTCCTACCTCAACACAGTCTCGCAAAAGAGACGAGTAAGGACACAGAACGGTGACGAGTCCATGTCACTGTTATCCATGTTATATAATCCCACCTCATATTCCAAGATGTCTCCTAGAGGAGATCCAAAAAAACCTGAGCATTTACCTCAAAGAGCATAAGTAACCCTAAGGAAACTAGGATACAAGTAACTGGAAGGTTCTAATTTTCTTCCTTTCTAGCAGAGTAAAGGCTTATGAAGAAAATTAGCTCAAATATTAAAAATAAAGAAACTACAACCTGAATAGACATCTTCCCAAAGAAGACATATAGATGGCCAATAGGTACATGAAAAGATGCTCAGCATCAATTATTATCAGGGACATGCAAATCAAAACCACCATGAGATGTCACCTCACACCTGTCAGAATGGCCAGTATCAGAAAGACAAGAAATAACAGGTATTGGTGAGGATATGGCAAAATGGGAGCACTTGTACATTATTGGCAAGAATGCAAACTGATACAGCCACTGTGGAAAACGGTATATGGAAGTTCCTCAAAAAATTAAAAATAGAATGCCATATGATCCAGTAATTCCACTACTGGGTATTTACTCAAAGAAAATGAAAATGCTAATTCAAAAAGATATTGTCATCCCTATGTTTGCTGCAGCATAATTTATGAGAGCCAAGATATAGAAGCAACCCAAGCATTCATTGATAGAGGAATAGATAAAGAAAATGTGTTGTGTGTGTGCATATATATATATACACACACACCCCATGAACTATTATTCAGACATAAAAATGAATGAGATCTTGCCATTTGTGACAACATGGATGGAGCTAGAGGGTACTAGACTAAGTGAAACTAGCCAGACAGCAAAAGATAAATACCATATGATTTCACTTACATGCGGAAGCTAAAAAAAATGAAACAAATGAACAAACAAATAGACTCATAAATACACGGAACAAACTGGCTGTCCCCAGAGGGGAGGGAGAAGGGAAACAAATAAAGGGAACTGAGAGTACAAACTTCCAACAAATAAGTCACTGAGATGAAAAGTATAGCATAGGAAACACAGTCAATAACATTGTAATAAGATGATATGGTAAGGGATGGTGAATACATAGATCGTAGTGAGCACTGAGTAATCTGTAGAATCGTTGGATCAATACGTTGTACACCTAAAGTTAATATAACGTTGTATGTCAATTATACTTCAACAATAAAATAAAAAGTAATAAAATAATAAAAAATAATAAAATTAAAAGCTATGATTTTCTCTATTCATGTAATTTATAATTACTACATTTATAACACTACCATGAATGTTGATCACAGTAGTAATATTAAAATTGATTTGCAGAATTAAATTCAATTCCTTGATAAAACAAAGAGGAAACAATGATAAAGAATACAATCCGTGGGGGCACCTGGGTGGCTCGGTGGGATAAAGCCTCTGCCTTCAGCTCAGGTTATAATCCCAGGGTCCTGGGATCAAGCTCGGCATCCAGCTCTCTGCTCAGCAGGGAGTCTGCTTCCCCCTTTTTCTCTCTTTGCCTGCCTCTCTGCTTACTTGTGATCTCTCTCTGTCAAATAAATAAAATCTTAAAAAAAAAAAAAGCTGTATGTATTAAAAAAAAAAAAAAGAATACAATCCATGATGAGATTATAATGGTCTTTATGCAGAAAATGGTTATATTAAAATTCATAATACACAGACTATAGGAAATGCAAAGAATAGTAGACTAAAACATAGTAAGAGACTTAATATCACAATATTAGTCCATGGAAAATCAATTTAGACAAAAAACAATTCAGAATGTTACATTCCAATTACATAATTGATGAGTATGAACATAAAAGATACGTAGGATTTATTATCCTAATAAAAATAATGAACTTGCTTTACAAGAATTCATGGGATATTTATAAAATTCTGAACATAAATCAAACAAAAAGAAACTAGAAATACACCACACATATTATCTGACTGAGCTTCAGTGATATTAAACTATAAATAAAGAGGAAGCAAAGGAGAGAAGGACAAGGAGAGGAAGAAAGTCAATCTCTGGTTCAACATCCGCAAATCAATCAATGTGATATAATACATTAATAAAAGAAAGAACAAGAACCATATCATACTCTCAATAGATGCTGAAAAAGCACTTGAGAAAGTACAGTATCCTTTCTTGATCAAAACTCTTTTGGGGTGCCTGGGTGGCTCAGTGGGTTAAGCCTCTGCCTTCGACTCAGGTCATGATCCCAGGGTCCTGGGATCGAGCCCTGCATCGGGCTCTCTGCTCAGCAGTGAGCCTGCTTCCTCCTCTCTCTCTGCCTGTCTCTCTGCCTACTTGTGATCTCTGTCTGTCAAATAAATAAATAAAATCTTAAAAAAAAAAAACAAAAAAAAACAGGCAGGAGGCGGCGGCAGCCTTGGCTGAGAGAAGATGGCGGACGGTGTGGACCACATAGACATTTACGCGGATGTGGGCAAAGAGTTCAACCAGGAAGCTGAATACGGTGGGCATGATCAGGTAGATTTGTATGATGATGTCATCTCTCCATCTGCAAATAATGGAGATGCCCCAGAAGACCGTGATTACATGGATACTCTCCCACCAACTGTTGGTGATGATGTGGGTAAAGGAGCAGCACCAAATGTTGTCTATACGTATACTGGAAAGAGAATTGCATTGTATATTGGAAACTTAACATGGTGAACAACAGATAAAGACTTAACTGAAGCAGTGCATTCTTTGGGAGTAAATGATATTTTGGAGATAAAATTCTTTGAAAACTGGGCAAATGGCCAGTCAAAGGGGTTTGCCCTTGTTGGTGTTGGATCTGAAGCATCCTCAAAAAAGTTGATGGATCTGTTGCCTAAGAGAGAACTTCATGGTCAGAATCCTGTTGTAACTCCATGCAATAAACAGTTCCTGAGTCAATTTGAAATGCAGTCCAGGAAAACTACACAATCAGGACAAATGTCTGGGGAAGGTAAAGCTGGTCCTCCAGGAGGCAGTTCATGTGCAGCATTTCCACAAGGTGGTAGAGGATGGGGCTGTTTTCCGGGGGCTGTTCCCGGTGGGGACAGATTTCCTGGACCAGCAGGACCAGGAGGGCCACCCCCACCTTTTCCAGCTGGACAGACTCCACACATCCACCCTTAGGTCCTCCAGGCCCACCTGGTCCACTGGGTCCTCCACCTCCTGGTCAGGTTCTGCCTCCTCCTTTAGCCAGGCCTCCTAATCGAGGAGATCACCCTTCACCACCAGTTCTTTTTCCTGGACAACATTTTGGGCAGCCTCCATTGGGTCCGCTTCCTCCTGGCCCTCCACCTCCAGTTCCAGGCTACGGCCCCCCTCCTGGTCCACCACCTCCACAGCAGGGACCACCTCCACCTCCAGGCCCTTTTCCACCTCGCCCACCTGGCCCTCTTGGGCCACCCCTTACATTTGCTCCTCCTCCGCATCTTCCTGGACCACCTCCAAGTGCTCCACTACCAGCTCCACATGTGAATCCGGCTTTCTTTCCTCCACCGACTAACAGCGGCATGCCTACATCAGATAACCGGGGTCCACCACCAACAGATCCATATGGCCGATCCCCACCATATGATAGGGGTGACTATGGGCCTCCTGGAAGGGAAATGGATACTGCAAGAACGCCATTGAGTGAAGCTGAGTTTGAAGAAATCATGAATAGAAATAGGGCAATCTCAAGCAGTGCTATTTTAAGAGCTGTGTCTGATGCCAGTGCTGGTGATTATGGGAGTGCTATTGAGACACTGGTAACTGCAATTTCTTTAATTAAACAATCCAAAGTATCTGCTGATGATCGTTGCAAAGTTCTTATTAGCTCTTTGCAAGATTGCCTTCATGGAATTGAATCCAAGTCTTATGGTTCTGGATCAAGACATGAACGATCAAGAGAGAGGGATCATAGTAGATCACAAGAAAAGAGTCGGCGTCATAAATCCCATAGTAGAGATCGTCATGATGATTATTATAGAGAGAGAAGCAGAGAACGAGAGAGACATCAGGACCGGGACCAAGATCGGGACCGAGAACGGGACCAAGAGCGCGAGTATCATCATCGTTAGAAGAAGCTGAAGGAAGAGGAACACCTTCCAAGACGAAACAGTCTTCATGGGGGAAAAATGACGCTTGTCCAGCAGTTTGCTTCTTGTGATTGAACTGAACCTGTAAGGATTCATGGATAAAATGAATAGGAATAGATCTGAATAAAGCAAATCTGCATAAATGATAACCAGTAACTCTTATTTTTTATGTTGCTTAACTGTTTTATTTGAAGGAAACCTGTGTGATTTAAAAAGTTATAGCTTTTGCAACTTTATTACTGGTTATATACATTTGGCCATTATAATGTGCAAGCAATTGGAAAAAAAAGTCAAGTAAATGCTTGTTTTTATAGTAGTTTGTTCTTGTTAAAAATGTTCATATGATAATGTCTGTAAACAGCACCACTTTGATTACAATAGATGTAGTGTTGTAATAAACTGTTTAATGGGGAAAAAAAAAAACAACTCTTTAAAGTGTAGAGGTAGAGGGTATATTCCTCAATATCATTAAAGCCATCTATGAAAAACCCACAGCGAATATCATTCTCAATGGGGAAAAACTGAGAGCTTTTCCCCTAAGGTCAGGAACATGGCAGGGATGTCCGCTATCACCACTGCTATTCAACATAGTACTAGAATCCCTAGCCTCAGCAATCAGACAACAAAAAGAAATTAAAGGCATCAGGATATAAAATCAACACACAGAAATAAGTTGCATTTCTCTACACCAACAACAAGACAGAAGAAAGAGAAATTAAGGAATTGATCCCATTTACAATTGCACCTAAAACCACAAGATAACTAGGAATAAACCTAACCAAAGAGGCAAAGAATCTGTACTCAGAAACTATAAAGTACTCATGAAAGAAAGTAAGGAAGATGCAAAGAAATGGAAAAACGTTCCATGCTCATGGATTAGAAGAACAAATATTGGGAAAATGTCTATGCTACCAAAAGCAATCTACACATTTAATGCAATCCTTATCAAAATACCATCCATTTTTTTCAAAGAAATGGAACAAATAATCCCAAAATTTATATGGAACCAGAAAAGACCCTGAATAGTCAGAGGGATGTTGAAAAAGAAAACCACGGTTGGCAGCATCACAATTCCAGACATCAAGCTCTATTACAAAGCTGTCATCATCAAGACAGTATATTACTGGCACAAAAACAGACACATAGATCAATGGAACAGAATAGAGAGCCCAGAAATAGACCCTCAACAATATGGTCAACTAATCTTCGACAAAGCAGAAAAGAATGTCCAATGGAAAAAGACAGTCTCTTCAACAAATGGTATTGGGAAAATTGGACAGCCACACCCAGAAGAATCAAACTGACCATTTCCTTACACCACACACAAAAAAGACTCAAAATGGAGGAAAGACCTCAATGGAATACAGGAATCCATCAAAATCCTTGAGGAGAACACAGGCAGCAATCTCTTCAACCTCAGCTGAAGCAACTTCTTCCTAGAAACATGGCCAAAGGCAAGGGAAGCAAGGACAAAAATGAACTATTGGGACCTCATCAAGATCAAAAGCTTTTGCACAGCAAAGGAAACAGTCAAGAAAACAAAAAGACAACTGACAGAATGGGAGAAGATATTTGCAAATGACATATCAGATAAAGGGCTAGCATCTAAAATATATAAACAACTTATCAAACTCAACACCCAAAGAATAATCCAATCAAAAAATGGGCAGAAGACATAAACAAACATTTATATAAAGAAGACATCCAGATGGCCAACAGACACATGAAAAAATGCTCAACGTCACTTGGCATCAGGGAAATACAAACAAAACCACAATGCGATACCACCTCACACCAGTCAGAATAGCTAAAATTAACAAATCAGGAAACGACAGATGTTGGTGAGGATGTGGAGAAAGGGGAACCCTCCTACACTGTTGGTGGGAATGCAAGCTGGTGCAGCCACTCTGGAAAACAGCATGGAGGTTCCTCAAAAAGTTGAAAATAGAGCTACCTTATGACCCAGCAATTGCACTACTGGGTATTTACCCTAAAGATACAAATGTAGTGATCCAAAGGGGCATGTGCACCCAAATGTTTATAGCAGCAATTTTCACAATAGACAAACTATGGAAAGAACCTAGATGTCCATCAACAGATGAATGGATAAAGGAGATGTGGTATATATATACACTGGAATACTATGCACCATCAAAAGAAATGAAATCTTGCCATTTGCAATGATGTGGATGGAACTGGAGGGTATTATGTTGAGCGGAATAAGTCGATCAGAGAAAGACAATTATCATATGATCTCCCTGGTATGAGGAATTTGAGAGGCAGAGTCGGGGAGTGTGGGGGGGTAGGGAAGGAAAAAATGAAACAAGATGGGCTCAGGAGGGAGACAAACCATAAGAGACTCTTAATCTCACAAAACAAACTGAGGGTTGCTGGGGGGAGGAGAAGTAGAGAGAGGGTGGTGGTTGGGTTATGAACATCGGGGAGAGTATGTGATATGGTAAGTGCTGTGAAATGTATAAGCATAACGATTCACAGATCTGTACCCCTAGAGCAAATAATACATTATATGTTAATAAAAATAATTAATAAATTTTTAAAAAGAAAAAAAGGAAAGTCAATCTCATGAAAATTAAGAAATTTACTTTTAATCAACACTTGCATCAAAGAGAAAATCACAACCAAAATTTCAAAATATCTGCAAAATGATAATGAAATATATTATATATTTAAAAAATATGGGCCAAGCTAAATAGCTAAATCTAAAATCATAAACACATTATTAAATAAGAAAGAATGAAAATAAATCAAGCATTCAAGTCAATATTTGGAAAAAGAACAACAAAATAAAATTAAGGAAGTGTAAAAAGGAAGAAAAATATCATGCACTGGAAAAATAAAATTAATGGACCCTGAGTGGTTCAGTCAGTTAAGTGTCTGCCTTCAGCTCAGGTCATAATCCCAGGGTCCTGGGGTCAAGCCCCACATCAGGCTTGATCACTGGGGAGCCCTGCTTCTCCCTCTCCCTGTCCCTCTGCCCCTCTTCATGTGTTTTTGTTTTTGTTTTTTTTCTCTCTCTCTCCCTTTCTTTCTCTCTTCCTCACTCTGTCTCTCAAATAAATAAATAAAATCTTTTAAAATATCTTTAAAAAAAGAAAATTAGTTAATGATATTGGAATACCAAAATAAATAAGAGTATTAGTGATAAATAAATTCAAGAAGTGATTCTTTGAAATTATTAATGAAATAAACCATTAGCTGGCCCAACTTAGGGAAAAAAGTTAACAAAATTACAAATAAGGAGAATCAGCCACAAATACAGAAGAATTTAAAGTGATCATAGAAGACAACTCAGATGAATATATTTTGATCTGCCCTTTTTGGAATTGGTCTAAAACTCTTCTTACATATTGCATTTCTTTATGGTGTCCATATTATCAATATCAAAAAAATGTTACAGCAAAGCAAAAGAGTTTTAACATCCATCAAGAAAACCTTCAAGATCACTTAAATAAAACTTGTGTTTTTTTGATTACTGCTGTTGTCAGTGACAACTTTTTTTTCTCAAGCTTCTCTCACTGTTTACCTCATGGTCATAACAACCACTGGGCTACATTTCTTAAGTGATTTTATTCTAAATATAGAATTCTCTAATAGGGCCTAAATCTTAGCATCAGCAGAAAATGATATGTTAAGTATATTCTCATGCCTCAACCATCCCCAAAACTACTAGTACAAAAAAATTCCACCAATTTAGGCTAATTAAAGCTAAAAAGTGTCGTGTGTGCTTTAAATGTCCGTCAATTTCCAGGTAATTATATGTGAAGGCAGGAATCCATCAGGGTCCCTTTTTTTAGAATTAAATTCAGATGGGAAGTGAAGGAGTCAGGGGATGTTTGCAGATAATTAGTTCCATTCCTATCTTTCTTGGCTGTTTATTGACAGTAAAAGATACATTTTTTGAAAGATACAGAAGGATGTTTTTCTGTTACTTATCTCCATTCCATTTTGCCAACTGGGTCAATTTCATCATAAATTTATAAGGAACTGAGATTTCAAACTGAAGAAAGCAAATGCAACCTAAAATATCAGAATCAACCCAGACATTTATAGAATGCTTTATAACTCTCATAGTGCTTTCACAGATATCATCTCATTTCATTCTCATACTAGTTCCCAAGGTAACATCTTCATCACAGAAAAAGAAATAGAAGATTAGAGAGTGAATGGGATCAGAATACGCCACCTCAAAATATCTCACTCCGTCATCAGGATTATTTTGAGCTGAAGACCATTAAGAAACAGCAGACACAGGAGAAACCCTCCGCCCTCCCCCTTTCTTTGTAAAAGCAAAGCATAAATTTGCATTCCTGAAGGTATCTTCCTTCCCTTCTCCCATACTACGAAGAGAATGGCTCTTAATCACCAGAGATGGCTTTTATCACTGGAGAAAGCACCCTTGAGTCTGCATAACAAATCTTACTAAAATAACCTTTGTCTTCCATTAGTTTCCCTCATATATTTACCTTCCCATAATTGACCACCTTTAGAAGCCCAAATCCCTTCTCCTTTGTCTTATCACCTCGTCACAATTTATAGCCCTTTGTTTAATGGCCTATAAGCGCTCAAACTTAACCACTTCTTCAGTTTACACTCCTTTTCTGTGAAGTTCCAGTGAATATGCAAAATAAATCTTTTCTTATATTAACCTGTCAGTTTAATTCACAAGCCCTTGTCACTAAACTTAACAGGATAGAGAAAAAAATTTTTCCTCCCCTCCAAGACTAAAACACCTGCTATAAAACTGTACCTTGATCAGAATCAAGCAAATATACTGTACACAAAATTACTTTCTCTTCACATACCTATAGCAGACATCACTAATTCATCAAGGTGTTCTTTCTTGCTGAGAACAAACATAGCAGAATTCTTCTCAACACAATTTTCCAAGAAACAACTTTGCTATACCTGTGCTACAACTTCCTAACAATATGCACAGTAAATTGGTAGTTTTCACCCTTTGCTCCAGGAAGAACCCTGCCCGACAACAGAAAAGTATCTCTGAATCTCTTTTTCTGAGAATCTTTATCCATATCACTTTATTCCGAAGAATTTTGGGGATTTTTTTTTAGGTACTTCTTCAAAATCTGGTGATACCTTCCACAGTCTTTCACCCAGAATCTGTAATAAAACCTTTTCCATAGGACTGGCATGAGGCAAACATCTGAGCTACTTCTCATTGAAAAATCACCCTTTTTCTTGGCTGACCATTCTCAGTGTTAGCCAGAGTACATTCTCTTGCTTTCTGGAGAAAGCTAATGTGGTCCAACAAAGACCCCTCATAGATAGAATTCTCTCTTGAGGACATATCAATTTGCACACATAATATGCATGTTACGGTATACTAGTTAACCAGTCTCAACGTATACCTCTTTGTTGTCATACAAATTTCC